GCAAAATGGCAGCTTCTAAAAATATTCTATAATTTTAATTATTAATTAATTCAGGTGAGCTAGATCCTGGATTTTCCAATTCCGTGAGTTTCCACTAAGTCTCTTTTTCACCACCTACATTTTGCTATTTGACTTCAGCTGTGTAGTTTCATATTCACACTAAGAAAAGTCTGACTCAAGTACCAAGTTTATTACCTCATCTTTTCTCTTCCAGGTTTGATCTCTGCTGGTCACTTGAGGACCAGTGTTGACTGAGCCTGTTCAAACACATGCATCAAACAAAAATTAAATCCAGAGTTTAAGAATAAAAGTAGCAGAAGAATATTTTAAAATACCAATTTGCTTTCTCCCTGTAGGTCTCCCTTTCTCTTCCCTTTTAAATGGGCTCTTCCTTCCCGCAGGGAGATTTGTTAATAGGCTCCCAAAAGTCCAATAGGGGACTGAGAAACTCAAATGACAGCAGGCAGGTCAGGCACGTGATTAAAGTGGGCTGGATATAAGACAAGAGCAGTGTGGACAGCACCTGCTTCCCCAGTGGGAGCCAGCTGGTACTCAGCTCTGATTGTTGCCACATACAGAAATGGGGACTGAGTGTTGGCAGATGTTCTGATATTTTCAAGAGAAGCTCAAAATCTGGATTTTTTTTTTTAATGTGAAATTTCTGGATGTTTATACTTGGCAACTAATTTTAAATTTGTAAAAGAAAACATGTGCAGGTCAAATGCAGTGTACCGGCTGCATCAGTCCACGGGCTTAGCATATATGACTTCTGTCTCAAACTCATTGGGGAATACAGAATGATATATTTCCCTCAGTGTCTCTGGAATCATTCAAGGAAGGAGAGGGACCTACTTCCACGTCATATCTCTGACTCAACAGCCCTCAGGATGTCCTGAGGCTTGCCATACACCACTGTGTCCCATGAGTAATGTGGAGCAGCTGAGCTAGAGACTGAAGGGTGCAGTAATGGTCATCTTAGTGTTAGCCAGCTCGGGCAGTAGCAGAGGGAGCTCCCAAAATCAGATGCTGCATATAACCCCAGAACAGGGCATGGAAGGTGAGCCCTAAGAATGTCTGAGTTGAACTTGCTTCTAGGGGAGAAGTGAAATTACATGTTGAATGTCTGCCTCTCTTCCCCACAGGGGTAGACGCCTTGTTTGGCTCACTCACCGACTAGTGCCTGGCACAATGACCAGCACACATTGGGGTTGCATTTTGTAAGAATTTTGCAAATGAGAAATAATGAGATATAAACTAATAGAATGTCACTTTTGGCACACAATTTGTCATATATACCGCCCACCCCCCAATTAACAATTCATTAACAATTGCATCATGTCTAAGTTAGCAGGGTCACACGAATTGTGAACACTGGAAATGGTGCTAAGTAGAGTAAATTAAGGAGGACTCTTCAAGCTGGGGCAGCTGGGAGAATGATTATGGGGCTCTGTAAGCGGGGGGGTGGGGGGGAATGCTGAGCATTGAATGAAATATCTTGAATGTATTTTCTCTAGAGCAAGGCCTTCCTATCTAGTCTTTGTTTACTGCTTAGTACCGGGATACATAAAATTGGGTACTAATACCCATTCAGTGACTGTTGTTACTTAGTGACTATCAAAGTACACCTCAAAGCAAGTTATCTGAGTTGTGGCAGTGACCATGGTTTGGAATTCTCAATGGAGATGGATAAGGTCCCAAATTCCCTTAGGTTGTTGGGAGCAAACCAGCTCCCCACACCAGGGCCCACTGAAACCTTCCCCATGCCCACTCTTCCCCAATGGTGCTGTGTGGTTCCAGCTTCCCAGGGCAGAGAGTGAAACATAAAAGCTGCTCCCCGCACCTAGCAAGGGTTTGAAGGGAAGGTCATAGAGCAGAGGAGCCACCTGATTTCAGCGTCTAGAAGTCTGATATGTGCCCTCCCAGAAGCAATGTGGCTGTCGGTGGGCCCAAGAATGGGGGTTGATGATAAACCCACACAATACCCTCAACTCATTTACATTTATCAAAATTCCTTCCCAATGCTTTTCCTACCACTAAAGGGAGACCCCTTGCCTGTGATCTTGGAATCACTGGAAACTTTGACAGGCTCAGTTGCTTGGATAATCAGTAGCTTGCTTAAATCTGAAGTTCCCTGAACCTAAAGGAGAAAAGTCCAAATTAGTCAAAAGTGCATTCTTTGATCTCTAAGCTGGCTGCTTCCTAAACTTTCCAAAGAATATTAGAAATAAGCCAAAACCTAGAACTGGGCCTTCAACCTAAACTCTTTCTCATTTCAAATCCTCTTGAATGTTGCTTCAAAAAGCCTTGTACCAGCAAATTATTTTTTTGCATATTTATAGACATCAGGAATTTTCTGCACGTTACTTGTAACTGGACTGGGAATTCTCAGTTTAAACAGAAAACCCATAATCCACTGAGTTACTTTTACTCCTTAGAAATACAAGGGCTCAGGACCCAGCCTTCCCACATGGCAGGATGGTCTTCTTTTCTCAGAGTTTTTGCCCACAAAATCTGCCCTCCCAGAATGCAAGTAGTGGAAAAGTAACAATAACTATCATTTCTAGGGAGAACCAAGATGGCGGTGTAGGCAAATGCCTGTACTCGCTGCCTCCCACAACCACATCAAAATTGCAACTAAAATATAGAGCAACCATCATCCAGAACTGCCGGAAAGCTGGCTGAATGGAAGGCCTACAACTAGAGAAGTAAAGAAGAAAGCGCACGGAGACTGGTAGGAGGTGCGGAGGTGCGGAGCGGCAGGTCCAGCACCCACGTGCCGCTTTTTTAATTGGGAGGGAGATTACCTCTGCGGAGGCCGCCCATGAGGAGCAAGAGGTCCCAGCTCCACACCAGATGTCCAGCCCAGGGTCCCAGAGCTGAGGAAAGAAGTCCCTATGGGCTGTAAAATCCAGTGGGGATTGGGGCTCAGTGACACAGAGGCTGCTGGAGACCCAGCTGCTCCTCTTAAAAGGCCGGCACCACGAACTTACAAGCTCCCGCTTCTCTGAGCTCCAGTACTGGGTGAGGCTCTGGGGGACCCAGACACATACTAGGAGAAACCGGACTGTCTGGCACTGGGGCAGGAACTCGGGGGCGGCTTTCTTCCAGACAGAGGTGCTCGCAGGGGTCATTGTTCCTGTGCTGGGACCTCCCTAGTTGGCAGGGATGACTGGCAGCCATTTCTGTTTGCTCAGCCCTGGTGATTCCCTGAGACCTCGCCCCACCCTGTTCCTTTCTCTGGGGAGGTACAGCACCACACCAAGGCAGACAGCATGGTGAGCAGAGAGCAGGCTGATCCCAGCTCTTACCTGCCCCTCAATCACAGCCTTGTGCAGGGCACAACCTGCATGCAGTACACAGAAGTCCTGGGTACGTTTTGGCCATTTTGTTAAGGGCAGGTGAGACCTGCAGAATCTTTCCAGGTTAAATTTATTTTTAAGGTGGTCAGTTGAGTATTAAAGCCACTTATGCAGCACCGTGGAATGCAAATGACTCTAGAAATGATCCTCCTTACCTGCTCACAGGTTTTAGATAAGATGCAAGGTGCAAGGAATGGTGCCTCTGTCTTTGTATCCATCACACTGCCATAGACGACAATCACCAACTTCATGGTCGCCCAGTCAATAGTCATCTCGTTACAGCTTGATAAAGTCTCCACGTATGCCACATTGAGTGCCACACACCTCTGGAATGTTATGTCCTACAATAAAATTACAATTTTCTATAAGTCATACACAAGGTCATACACAATGACACAAGGTATCAAAACGAGAAAATTCAACAGCAATACCGTCATAATATGGGACTTTAACACCCCACTGTCATCAATGGATAGATCTTCCACACAAAAAAATCAAAAAGGAGACAGCAATCTTAAACGACACACTAGATCATATGGATTTGATATTTACAGATTATTTCATTCCAAAGCAGCAGAATATACATTCTTCTCAAGTGCTCATAGGATATTCTAAAAGGTAGATCACATATTAGGACACAAAAATAAGTCTTAACAAATTCAAGATTGAAATCATACCAAGCATCTTCTCATATCACAATGGCATGAAACTAAAAATTAACCACAATAAAAAAAAACGCTCAAAAAACATTCAAACACATGGAAGCTAAATAGCACACTATTAAACAATGAATGTGTTACCAATGAGATCAGGAAAAAAGCAAAAATTACCTGGAAACAAATGAAAATGTATACACAACAACCCAAAATCATAGCATTACAGGCACCTGAAGAAACAAGAAAAATCTCAAATAAACAATCTAACCCTACACCTAAAAGAACTAGAAAAAGAACAACAGGAAAAGTAAGTAGAAGGAATGCAATAATAAAGATATCAAAGCAGAAATAAATGTTATAGAAACAAAAAACAATATAAAAGATCAATTAAACCAAGAATGGCTCTTTGAAAAGATAAACAAGATTGATGAACCTTTTACCAGACTCATCCAGAAACAAAGAAGACCCAAATAAAATCAGAAATGAAAGAGGATAAGAAACAACTGACATCACATAAATACAAAAGATTGTAAGAAAGTATTATGACTAATTATAGGCCAACAAATTGGACAACCTGGGTAAAATGGACAAATTTCTAAAAACATACAATCTTTCAAAACTGAATCAGGAAGAAACAGAAAACTTGTATAGACCAATAACTAATGAAATTGAAGCAGTAATAAAAAGACTTCCAACAAACAAAAGTCTTAGACCAGATAGCTTCAAATCATAGGCAAATTTTGCCAAACATTCAAAAAGCACATATCCTTAAAATATTCCAAAAAATTCAAGAGGAGGGAAGACTTCTAGGCTCTTTTAACAAGACATTCAATAAAATCCAGCACTGATTTATGATTAAAACTCTCAGCAAAGTGGGAATAGAGGGATCATACCTCAACATATTAAAGTCCATATATGAAAAACCTCCTGACAAAATCATACTCAATGGACAAAAACTAAAAGCATTTCTCTTAAGATCAGGAACAAGACAGGGATGTCCACTTTCACCACTCTTATTCAACACAGTTCTGGAAGTTCTAGTCACAATGATCAGACAAATAAAAGGCATCCAAATTGGAAAGAAGAAGTAAAACTCATTATTTGCAGATGACATGATATACATAGAAAACATTAAAGATTCCACCAAAAAACTACTAGATCTAATAAATGAATTCAGCAAAGTAACAGGATACAAAATCAGTATCCAGAAATTGATGGCATTTTTATACACCAATAATGAACTATTAGAAAGAGACAAATACTTAAACACTTAATCGCTGAGGCACAAAAAACATAAGAAAATTAACAAATACCTGGACTTTTGCAACTTGAGAACTATTCAAATTCTGGAATCTAAACTTGTACTCTTGAAACTTATAGAGTCTTATTAATGAATGTCACCCCAGTACATTTTATTAAAATAAATAAATAAGTAAATAAATTCTGGAATCTCCAAAAGAGAGATTCTTCTTTAGAAGATCAGACATAATTGTCCCCTCTGTCTTTGTCACAAAAATACGAAGTGCATTTTGTAAAAAATACAGTCAATCACTTATGTTTTAATCGTGTCACTTACCTCATCAACAAGAGCTGATTCAAAATACTGATAGGCGGTGCCGAGAGCAAGCTTTAGCCATATTTTGTATTCCAGGGACGGCCAGAAGACATCAAAGCCCTCATATAAATCCTCCAGGGAGATGAAGCAGGCCTGAAATGACAAGATGTCATGCAGCAAGCTCAATTTGGAACTAAATTACAAGACCATCAGAAAACAAGATGCCTGTCACTTTCATCTTTATCAAAGTCTACCATTTAAAAGCACTGTATTGTTGGAGAGGTTGTTTTTTATGTATAAGGCAATACAATTTATAGTCCAATTAAAGCTATAGACCTACTAGTAGGCTAGGAAAATCAATACCAGTCAATAGCTAAGATAAGGATATGGCACATGAGCCCAGGATCCAGGAACTAAGCCACATAAGTTACCTATTTTTATTGCCACAGTAGATAAAGTGGGCTCATGTAAAGTCTGTTTCCAGAGGCGAAAGGCTTCCCTGCAGAAAGAAGACTACACTTCCAGAATTCACGCTACATGAACTTCAGTCAATTCAATTCAGTTTTGTGACTAAATTCATGCCTCCTATCCTCTTCCAGAAATGAAATGGTATGAAACTGATACAGCAACACTCCCTCTGTGCCACACACCCCTGAGACTGGTCCCTCTCGATTGCATCAGAGTCCCAAAAGCTTGAGAATTCTGTGTAAGCAGAAACTTTGGCTCTC